AAATATAATTTTTCATCACATCATTGTGCTGGTAGTAATCCTGACAGTTATGTTGGTTCTAATGCTCTGCATGTGCTGCTGGATAAAACAGATGTATTCTAAATTGAAACCACAGGCTGAAATCATGACCCCATACATAGCTTTAAAACAGATACAGAAGATTTATATGGTGACCACTCAAGAATTGTTCTTGAGAGGTCAAAAGGGGGACAATGTAGATAAATCTCTGCATTAAGCATCTTCACATAACTTTCATATGACTCTGTATTATGCCTCTATTTTCATAGAACTTTGTATCATATCCTTATATAGAAAACTTTGTATTGAGCCTTGGTATAATGTTAAAAAAACTGTATTTTTGCTAGGAGTAGAATAAGATCTCCCCCACCCCTCCTTTTAATCAATTGCCCTATTGAATGAATAAGGTGTGAATGAGCAAGGCATGGAAGGCAAGCACCTATTGACAGCTGCAGGTGGAGAGGGGATGGAAGCCAGACCCAAGAACAATAAAACTTGTCAAGTGGGCTCACTAAAGAAGAGCAGACATATTGATGGACTTGGGTGTTAGAAGCAAGCACCTTCTTTTGAAAACACCCTCTTTGAACAGCATTGGGACAACACCCAGAAAGAAGCTGCACAAAGGACCAATGGACACAGATTTTCAATCTGATCTAGATTCTGGCTCCAGAAGAGGCACTTCATGCAATGGAGATGAGGCAGAACCAAGGGTTCGATTTTATCAGATATCTGTAGAGTTTAAGACACGAAAGGACAATTAAATCATCTAGTCTGATCTCCTGTACATCTCACAGTCCATTAAATTTCACTCAGTTACTCCTGTATTGGAGTCCAAAAATTTGTGTTTGGCTAAAGTATATCTTCCAGAGAGTTATGCAGTCTTTACATAACTGCGTCAAGAGATCCTTGATAGTCTGATCCAATGGTTAATTACCGTAATTGCTACAAAACGGTGCCTTATTTTCAGTTAGAATGTGTCTGACTATAGCTTCCAGACATTGGTTCTTGTTGTCTCTCTCTGCTAGATTAAAGAGTCCTTTCATGGGAAGAAAATATCGAGCACCAAGGTACTTACACACTAATCAAGTAACTAAGGAATTTTTTTCAGCCCTCAAATCTTTTGTGGCTCTTTTCTGCTACAAATTTGTCAAGATGCTTTTTAAAAACATGGATACCAGAACTGTCTCACCAATGCCATAAATAAAGACTAAATCTTCTCCCTACTCCTGTTCGCTACACCCGTTCTACATCCAAAGGTAGCATTAGTTTTTTTTTGCCATAGAATCAGAGTGGGAACTTGCATTCAGTTGCTTGTTCACTTATAATCCCTAAATCCTTTTCATAGTTCTTGCTTTCCATACCCCACTTTGTAGGTATGGCTGCATTTCATGTTCCTAAATGTATAACTTTACATTCAGCTGGATTAAAATGCATTTTGTCTGAACGGGTCCAGCTCATCAAGCGATCCATATTGCTCTGTGTGACTGCCTGTCATCATTATTTACCATTCTGCCAATCTTACATAATCTGCTAATTTTATCTTTGCTAACTTTATAGTTACTTCAGATCACAGATGTAGATGATGAATAGCTTCAGATCCCTGTGGATGCCCACTAGAAACACCCTCATTCAATATTTCCCTTTTCACAACTACTTTGAGATGTCAGTGAGCCAGTTCTTTATCTATTTAACTTGTGCTCTATTGATATTGTGTTAACATTTTAATCAGAATATCGTGGGACACTAAGTCAAATGCATTACAAAAGTGTAAGTATATTACGTCCATGCAGCTACCTTTCTCATCAAAACATGAAATCAAGTTTGAAAACACCTATTTTCCATAAAACTATGTTGATTGGCATTAACTATATTCCTATCATTTAATACTTTATCAGCTTTTCCATCATTTTGCCCAGGATTTATGTCAAGCTAACTAGCCTATAGTTACCTGGGTCATCCTACTTGCCCTTTTTGAATACTGGCACAACATTTACCATTCTTCCAGTCTTCTGAAATTTCCCCCATATTCCAAAATCTATTAAAAATTATCAGACCAAAGACCACAGCCAACTCTTAGGATTCTTTGGTGCAAGTTACCTGGCTCTGCTGATTTAAAAATGTTTATCCCTATTAGATGTTAACTAACATTCTCAATTACTAATGGACTGGAAAGTACTTCATCAAATGATAGTAGTACCTCATCCTGCTTCTTTCCACATACAAGACATATTTACTTAACACTTCTACTTTTTCTGCATCATCATTAGAGCTCCGTGACTTCTGCAGCAGCAAGCGTGGCTGATCCCAGGACAGCCACACCAGCCAGCGGCCCTGGGCATCTGGCTCTGGGGACCATCTGAGCAGCGGCCCATGCGGCTGGCCCAGGGTTGGCAGGAGAAGCCGCAGCTTGGAGGCTCCCAGCAGTGGTCCCGGGACAGCCAAAGCAACCGTGGGCTTCCCCCCACCCCAAAATTCAATCAGGGGTACAGTAACTCCTAGCTTAACATTGTAGTTATGTTCCTGAAAAATGTTAATTTAAGCAAAACGATGTTAAGCGAATCCTATTTCCCCGAAAGAATTAACGTAAATAGGGTTTTTTCCGCTCAGTTTCACTGCTGCAAGGAAGATGACTAGTGTCTTGGCAATTCCACTCTACTGTTGCAGCAGCAACCACACTGAAATTGTGTATCTGTGGTCTCACGAATCCAACACCTTAACAGTTTACATTCAGTTCACAGATCAAAGGTCATGAAAGGCACACTTAAAATAACTCAGTACTGAAGGATTAAGATTTTTTAAATGCATTCAACATTGAAAGAATCAAGTTGACAGTCCCTTGGAAAATGAATAAAATCATTTTCTCACACAATTAACCTGTGGAATTCATTAACATAGGACGATCATTCAAGCCAAGAGTCTAGTATGATTAAAATAAACTTAAGACAATTAAATGGATAACTTCCACTGCTGCAGCTGATAAAATAAGTATAGAAGACACAAACTCCTCAAGCACAAGGAGAAGATTCTTAATCTTCCTTTAAAGCCTCTCATGGTGACTACCATCATAGATAGGCTACTGGATTAACTGAGCAATTGGACTAGTCCCATATTGCAATTCCCACTACCCCTGTGTTGATGTAATATCCTTGTTTTATTTTGTTTTTGAAGGGTGAGGTGGGGGGGGGGGGAGAATCCTGCCCTTTGTGTGTATAAAATTCAATGCCAAAGGAGTTATGTGCACTTAGGGAATGCAAAACTGAATCCTAATTAGCCTGCAAGCCTTTTACATTATTAAAGTCTATTAAGCTCTGTAAGAGCCTTATTTGTACAGTATTTGATAATTTAGAATACTACATATTTCTTGCCTTTCCACCAGTCTTAAAGAACAAGGCACCCAGTCATCTTTACATCTAAAGCAAACTGAACATTCTGATGTGAGAGAAAGAAGTTACACTTTGAAAAGAGCATTATTTATCTGTAGCTAATGGTATCTTTTGTGAGCTTTTACAGAGAACACACAGAGGTGATGCGTGTCTTTGTTGCCTATCTTAAGTGAGAACTTTTTTTAAATTAACATCCTGCTGAGAAAAATGTAATCAGTTGCTCATCATCCAAATTGAAAGCATTATCTCTTTCAAACCTACCCAATTTTGCTATGCGCCTATATGAAATCTCTACCCCAAATTCAGCAATTTAAGACCAAGAACACACAATTGTACTAAATATTCAATAAGGAGCCATCTCTACACTAACGTGACCTGTAATAATTGATGTACTTGTGAAAATAGCTGAAATTGACAGCCTTCAGAGCTCAATCCTAAAAGCAGGTGTAAATGTTATAAAATAATTCACAGATCTGTAACGTCTATAAATGCTTAAAAAAACAAGTTTAATTACTGTGCCACCATCACAAACGTACTATTATACTGTACAAATTGTTCCGATATTTGCCTGTTGAGCTGTAATCTTCAGAGAACTATTGAATCAACAGAATTAATTTGAGAGCTACTTCAAAATGACTGGTAAATCAAGTAGTCATAAGTACACAGCAATCAATTTTGTATATGGAACTACCCCTCCAAACAAAAACAAAAAACCATTATGCTCACTTAACAGACCTGAGTCCAGCACTATGGAGCAACACTGCCACCAGTTGACTGAAGTGCAAAGCAACTGCAGTTAAATAGTCGCCCAAATGGACAATATGACCACGTTGCCAATGTTTCTATTGGGTATCCAAAAGCAAAAGAATTGCCCACATTCACTCCATGCATCCAGAATTAGCATTTTCTTGTACGCTTCAGCTAAAAATGCATAAAGAAAAATTTGAAACATGAGTCACCACAGACCTCCAGAAAGATACAACATAACTACTCATATTGGGAAAACTATGCAAAAGATAGTATGGATAAATCACATTTACACTTGGACCCTGAAACAGCAATCACTAGTTAACCCCTATGAAACAGAAAAGATGATACAATACACATTTAGTGAAAGATCACTTGTATGGCCAACAGAAAATAAAGGCAAATATGTACCTGAGTGAATATAGGGTGTATGGAATGGGAGGGGTCAAAAATCAGGATGACATACAATGTGAGAAAACAGGGATGTTTGCTTTTACTGCCCATAATCAAGAGCCATACCAAAAATATATGCACCAAAACATCTCTCCATAAAATTACTTTTCGTAATACAATATTTTAAATGACAAATGCTAGTACTATTTTTATCTAACATGAAAGGAGAAAATATGAACTCCTCTTACAGGCCAGAAATATGCTGTAAAACAATCTTTCCAACCAACAAAATCCACTTTTCTGAAAAACCTCTCTTTGTGGAAGGAAGAAACAAGATATGATAGGCAAGAGAAATTGGGGTCCTGTTCTGCTCATTTATGATTTAAGGATAATTAAGAGCACCATACCTTTTTAACATGAAAAAGCCTGTTACTCTCAACCTCTGCACAACATTCTTACCTTAAAATTACTAGAGTTAACCCATCCTATTAATTCGTCAATCACTTTATCAAGGCGCTGCTGATCCTGCTCGAGGTCAGTGGATCTACTGGGGTCAGCCAGATACTCCAGCAATTCTTGGCCGATTTGCATCCTGCGGCTCACATCTTTCTGCTGTACCTGATCACAGAAATAGTCCATATTGCCAGGCTCCATCGTGGATTTGAACGAAAAAGTTTATTAGGCGAAGAATCAAACTGCTTCAATACCAAAAACAAATCACACACATACAAAGTGAGGAGTAGCGTGGGGAGAAGTGCCCAGCTGGAGAAGTAGCCACCAACGTTTCACCTCCAAGTCTTGCCCAGCAGAAAGGAGGTTTTTTCCCCCTCTGTTCTTCTCCCCAAACGAACTCCGCAAGGTGAAATACAAGGCCTTTAACCAAGAAACACACCAACAAAAATCCTTTCAAAAGCATTAAAAAATTAAATCTCCAGTGATTCCCTTGTGAGGCTGCTGGTGACGCAGTCGGGGAGGGGGTATTTGCAGGATCCTCTGATTTCGGGGAGCTATTTTTTATTCCAGTTTTCCGTGTTTTTCACGATTTCCCTCAAGTTTCGTTTCTCGCGAAGTTCCAACCGGGGGCGTCAGCGCCACAGGCACTTTCTGAGGGGATCCCCAGAGGCCGGCGGTGGAGCTGCTGGCGTCTCTCCCCAGCCCGCAGGCCCGGCACGGACCCACCGCCGCCGCTTCTCAGCGCAGTGGGCAGTGGCTCCTTGTCGCCAAACGCAGCCGGAAGCAGCGGCGGGGCCGGAGCGGAACTTTCATGCTCCCTGGCCCGGGGGGATGGATGCGGCTCCGCGTCCCCGCTCCGCGGCAGGTCTAAACTTCAGCCGCTCCGGACTCGCTCCGCAGCGGCCCCGGCGCCTCCTCCGCCCGGTCTTCCCTGAGAGGGTGGGGGCAGCAGCCGCGGGACCCGGCGGGTTCGCTCAGTCGCGTCTCCTGGCTGCGGCGGCTCCTCAGTCCTATGGAAGTTGCGTCCCCAGCCCCGGCCCGGCTCAGCCGGCGCCCGCCTCTGGGTGTCACTCACGCTCCGGGCCCCGCCCCGCTCCTCCCCGAGTCGCCACCAGCGCCGTCTCCTCCGCGCGGCCGGGCGGCTCTCAGGGCGCGCGACACTCCCGCGCGCTCCCCTGCGACTGCGGCGGCTCCCAGCACCGAACCCGGCTCGCTCCCCGCGCCGCCGGCCGCCCGCCTGTCCTCCGTCGGCACAAGTCCAACTCACACGCACCTCCGTGCGCGTGCGCGAGATGCAACTCCCCTTCCTGACCTCCCCCTCTTTTCCCGCCTCACGCTGCAGCGTGCGCGCGCGCTCCGTCCTCTCCCCTACTCTCGCTGCAGGGCGCACGCTTGGTCCTGCGGCTCCACCTTTACAGGCGTGCGCAGGCGCTTGTCGGCTGTTCGGCCACCACCTCCCCAGTATAGCGGGTAGGGTCCTTCTCTATCTTTAGCTGCCTCCGCAGGGCCTGTGTACAGCGCTTTTCCTAAATAATCAGTGGGCAGGCTGAGTCGGGGAAGAGAGAAACAGCGAAGGATAAAGCATGCTGGAACCAGATGAAACGCTCTGAAAGCGGCCGTGGCTCTCAGGCAATGCAGGAGACACTCCTTAGGAGGGGTCCTGTTGCTGCTGCTGCTGCTTTGAAAGCCCCCGCGCGCAGCTAGCTTACATGCAGCAGTGCTATTATTGCTGCAGTCCCCTGGGGCCGGGCGGAGGCGTGTTAAGAGAGCGGTGCACGCCAGCGAAAGCAGGGCGGAGACAGGCCCCTGTGAGCTAGCGCGGGACCCAGGGATATCAGTTTGCATGAGCAGAGGGTCCCTCGAGAGACGGGTTGAGTGAGCTGCAGTGGGAGCGCTCGGGCAGCCCTGCTGCCGGGTCGGCGGAGACGTTCTCCATCTGCAAAGCCAAAGTCATGCAGCGCTGGAGGGGGAGGGGTCAAATGGGGTCCAGACAGTTCCCTGAGCCCAGAACGGAGAGACCCGCCCCACCACCGCCACCCTGGCTACTAGCAGCATTGCCGGCTTGGGGGAAAGAAACTACAAGGAAGAAGCTGGGCCAGCCCTGATGCAGGAGCAGTTCAAGCAGGGAGGCGATACTGATGTTTTATATATGCAGTGCAGTTGTAGCCCTGGCAGGCCCCAGGATATTAGAGAGAGTAGCTGGGTGAGGTAATATTTGTCCAAGAAAAGCTATTACCTCACCTTGTCTCACTGGTGTTTTATATCAAACAGATTGCAGGGCTCTCTGCAGTTTTCACAGGAACTCTCTTCCCGGTGCTGATTGGCTGTTTGTGCTCATCCCCTCCCTGTGTCGTTCTTTCCATCAAGCCATTTTCAAACTTCCTTGCACCTCTACCCCCTTCTGACAACAAAAATGACTACATGACTCCAGGAGGGGAGACCCACTGCTGCAGGCAGCACGTGGAAGCCCAAGGGCTTGCCTTCAGCTGGTGGACAGGGGGAAGGGGGCTTGCGTATCCTGACCCCTGCTACCCAGATCTGAAGCCTTTGGGATTTGGCTTCAGCTCTGGGCAGTGAGGCTCAGGCTTCTGTTGCAGAGCTGGGTCCAAGAAAGTCTAATGTCACCCCTGGTGACCCCATTAAATAGGGTGACCAGACGTCCCGATATTTAGGTGTTTGTCCTGTGTCCCGACCGATCTTTGGATATTGTCCGCCGCAGCACTTGGCCTTTTTTTTCCCCTCCACCGGCTGACCCCTCTCCCCCAGTGTGTCCCAATATTTTCTTCCTCTCATCTGGTCATCCTACCATTAAAACAGGATCCCAACTCACCGTTTGAGAGCCGATAGCTAGTTCCCTCCCAAAAGAACCCCACTGAAAGACAGTGGCCATTTTTTATTGGGCGGGAGGGGTGAGCATTAAAAAGTAATAAAATAAGAGCTGTTGCATATTGCTTTAATGAGTAGGTTTGTACCATGACTAAACTTGTCCACTTTAATAAAGTGAGATAAATGAGCTTCTGTTCCAAACTCCGTGTTTCCTTTATTTATTAATGCAAACCATAGACATCCCCAACCTCTAGTTGTCTACACCAATAAGGATTGAAGGACACCCCCCAAAAAAAGTAGGAATTAACATGACATTTGCTGTCATCACATAGTTCACGCTAGTTATGGGTTCATTCCTATCCCCTCTCTTTTGTCTGTCTTGTCTACTTCTATTGTACATTCTTTGGGGCAGAGGCTGCCTCTTAGTTTATTTTTGTACAATGCCTAGCACAGGGCCGGCTTTAGCAAGAGCGGGGCCTGATTCCTGGGGGCGGGGATTGAAAGCCCTGCCCCCAGGAATTGGGCCCCGCTCCAGCCGGGGTCGAGGGGATTGGGTCTGGGCCGGAGCCGCTGGGGCCGGGTCCACGGGTGCTCGGCCAGCACGCTCGGCCGGGGCC